GAAAATGTAGAATCTTTAATTGCATTTCCTAAATAAAAACCTAAAGATATGCTGTAAATTATCAGTGGTTAAGAAACTCAGACTAAAACAATTAGAGATACCAAACAAAAATTAAAAATATGTGCAGATTTAATGACATACAATAATTAGGTCAAATTAAAATTTTTCTCCAGTAACATATTTGAAGTAACACAGCCCTAATGAGTCTTTCATTTTTAATATCTTCATAGAATTTAGTAGCATCCTATTTTAGATTCTGTTCATAGTATTTGAACATCTATTTCAAGATAGGTTGTCAACAAATTGTATGGTAACTTTAGTAAACTTATTTTTATGCATATTTTTTAAAAGAGCTATTATAGAGCAATGTTTTCTAAAATATAAATATTCAGAGTGTTGATTGTAATATATAAAAACATAAACAATTTTATTCTGTATAATCACAATGAAAAGAGGTTTTAGTCCTTTGAGAGACTAAGAGAAAACAGAATTAAGGGCTTAAATTTTTAATCAAGGACCCTTCATCTTTTTCTCCAAATCAAGGGCAAATATTCAGAATGATTACACTCTCTGATCTAAATTATCCGTAGAAGACCTAGAAGTCCTTCCATTCAAACAGACAAATGTGTATGATCATTACAAATTTGTGATAATACAAAATAAAATTATTTTGTTCCTATAATACAAAATATCATACTCAAGATTCCTATCCTATGATTCTATTTTTTCATCAAATACCATGAGAATCTACTTCTAAAATCAATGCTATATATATTAAATGACTAATATTTACATGGCCTATTCTTTAAGTTTGTCTAGAGATCTTTTAAATTGTAGAACAAACATAGAACCAATAACTAACATAAAAAGCAATCTGAAGACAGTTACAGTGCTGTTAACATGACAAACATTTCAATCAAATACTATTTCGTATTAAAATTCAATAGTATTTGCCATGGCATAAGACTAAGGACATGTACATATGAATTTCCATGCTGTATTTCTCCCATTACACAAATTAACTCACTAGATGAAAGATGCTCTTTAGAAGACAAACCAAGTTTCAGCATGTTTTGAACTAAGCACAAACATTCCACATGCCATATGCCTTTGGGATATTTGCTATAAGCAACACTATGTATATATTGCAAATTTAGTTAAAACTTCTAGTAACTTACTCCAGAGAAAAGTTGGGCATGTTCTCCAAACCAGTGTCAGCATGTCCAACAGGTTCAACACGGCTGTTTTCTTCTTCTGTCCCATCCTCATCCTACAGAAAGCACAGGACAAAGAGAAGTATTATGTTCATGTCCATAATGTGAAAGGAATCTGAATAACTAGAGTCTAATAGGCATTAGGAACACATTAAATAGATCTTTCCTCTAGGGAGGACAGCCTTTAATGGTAAGGTAGGTACATACATTAGAAAAACTACATTCTAATGTGACAGTCTCCTGATTTAGTAAAGCCTAGGAGATGAATATGATACCACTGGGTTAAGATAACACTGGAACTTCTCCTTAGATTAATTTTCTTAGCTAATCTTTTTTTCTTTTCATATTTTGGTGTATGTTTTAGGAAGTAATTATATTTTATGATAATATTTAAGGACACAAGATACTAGCGGTGGTTAATTAATTATTTTTACTACTACAAATAGTTGAGACCACTATAAAACTTAACTGCTGTCAAAATTTTTCAGTTGCTTCAAACACAACTTGCCAAAATGTGCGTGCAATATCCACAATTCTAGACTAAAATTCTTTATTTGGCAAGATTTCACATAAAGATAACCTAAGGTAACAGACTGATTATTTAGAATCATCCATAAAGATATTAATATCTTAACCATCAAGAATCACTTTTGTTTACTTCTGATATAATGGATTAAACAGGGAAAGGCACAAACATCAAAATATCCAACCCCCATCTCTGCATTTTTACTTTTGTAAAGGCAACATTTTATAGATAATAAAATATGTCCAAATATATTGTAGATATTAGATAAATATGCTGGTGCTCCAAAAGGTGAATGTGGTATAAAGGTGAAAGTACATAAAATAAGTTAAATATGACATAATTTTGTCTTATTTTAGAATCTTAACCATTATTTTTTCATAAAGGGGTTTACTAACCGTAAAGTTCAATTGAGTAATAAAGAATGTATCTTATATCAATGGACTAACTAACTGATTTGGATATTCAGAAAAGATTCAGCATCTCCAGTTTTAATAGCTAGGACACTGACATGTTCTCCTTACATACACAATCTAACATATTTAGCAGATCTCTAAAAACCTTGATATGAAAATAAAATAATCCATGGGAACTGCTGAAGCAATGAATTTCCAAATATAACTAAATACAATATATTGATCAATTCATTGGAAGTCTATGTGTATGCTTTATGTACATGATAGGTTTATTATTTCTACATTTAAAACTGGAAACTGACATTATAAGGGACCTATCAAACCACCTCTTCTAAGAGTCTGTTAGCACAGTCACCTATAAATCAGAAACACTCTGGGGGGAGGAGGAAAGGGAGACAGGTCAGAACAGAGGAGGGTAAAGCACAGGGCACGATGGCACTGGTGTACAGGTGAACTGGTGGTGGGACTTCTATGGGGACTAAATCTGAGAGGAGAAAGCAAACACTGTACAAAAATGACAAAGGTGCAAAATATATAAAAATAAATAATTATAAAATAAATAGTAAACATTTCTGTAAAAGGTCTGCCCATAGAAAAATATATATAAAATCATGTATTTGAAAAATTTATACTCAAAATTTATTTGCAATCAGTGGAAAAGTCAATCAACAAAATGATAAGCTAAGGTTAAAGGTTCAAGACACAGTGTCAAAAAGGATTTTAAATTAAATTATAGAAGTTATATTTACTAAAGGCAGCTCAACAATATGCTGAGTCACTTCAAAGATATATTTAATATATCTTTAAATATATTAAACTGGAATTTAATAAACATTTGGAAAAATGTTAATTTTCAAAGCCACAGAGATCTGGTAATGCACAACTGAAATGTCTTTTGTTAATCCAAAGTAAGATGAATGAACTGAGTCTTCTCTGAGTTACACATACATCCCACATATCTTCAATGGTGCTGTACTGCATGAAGTCAGATTCTTTATGACTGATGATCCTGTGTTTGGAGAGGCTCTAATACGCACTTCTTCGTTATCTATCTCATTTATGAAACATAACAAATAATTTCAAAGGTTACAGAGTATCTGTACCTACTTTTAATGTAAATAATAACTGCCAAGACTATGCTTTTCCATTTGGAGTAAGGACAGAGAGGAACAAATGTGACTGCTTATATATCATATGGAAAACATAAAAATAAATAAGACATTTTCTTCAGGATCCATTTAATAATTTAAGCCCACTAAAAGGCCACCACAATGTACAACTATTTGAAACACCTATACTGCACTATGAAAGAGCCACAACAGTGAAATGCCTCAAACTACAGTGATAAAAGAGGACTGGATAATTTACAAATTCATAGTTCCCATAATGGCTATTATCAGGCCCCAAGAGCACGTAAAATATTATTTAATGTAGTTACATATGGTGCTCAGTTAAGAATGCAATAGTCACTGCCCCAAGGCTGAACTACAACTGCTATGGGAATCCCACCTTGTGGCTGTGTAAATGTCAGCTCTTTTATTACTTTATTTTATTGTTCAGAACTTTTTTTAAAAAGCTTTAACTAGACGCAGTTACTTTTAGCACAAGTTATATACACTAAGTTCCATTATAATCCAGTTACTACACATGTCATATCAACAATGAGTGTCTGTTGTATTAATTTGAAGAACACAGTGTTAAAAAAAAATTTTCCTAGTTAAGTTAGTACACTTCATATTCTTTTCTTGTGTACTATTTTATTGCAGAGTATAGTGGTTAAGAGCTTGGATTTAAAAACCTGGTATGAATACTAACTCTACCATTTACCAATGTTATATCCTCATCCAAGCTATACATGCTTCTATTACTTCTTCTATGAAATGGAAGAAAATAAAACAACATCCTTTAAGAACTACTGAGAGAAATGAGTAAAATAATCCATGTCAAAAGCATATATGGTTCATAAACCATAGTATCTGTCCAATAAAGGTTAAGTGTAATTTAAAAAAAGATACATGACATAAAGTATATCTCAATAAAATTTTGGATAATGCCATACAATCTATTTTAAGAATATTGTCAACAATTCATACTCTATGTCTGCCATGGAATTTAACATTCAACAAAGTATCTACTCAATTAAATACAAATATTAATATGTGCATTTTAGAAACTTGCATAAAACTAATATTGGTTGTGATTTGCTGCATAGAAATTACTTACATTATTATTTGGAATGAGAAAAGAAATCTTAAAAATAGATAAACAGTGAAATGCTGAATTCAATTAAGTAAATGATAGGAGTAAAAGGCACAAAAGGTTGAAGGAGAAAACATGGTCAGGATCTATAACAGGGCTATCACTTTACCCTACCCTAAGACAGCCTGTCATAGCTTCATCGATGCTACCAGAAGAAAACAGACTGGGTAAGAGACAAAGGACAGTTTATTAGAATAATAGCATTAGCCAGGGTATCATCCTTTTCTGCACTATTTCCTCAAGCTATCATTCTCACAGCATGATTTAAAGAGAGCCAGGGGACACTGAAACAAACACAAGAAAACCTGGGCTTAGGGAACTCACATCATTAAGACAGGCAGGAAGCATGAACACTCCCGATCATGGAGGGAGATACCACTTCCTACCACTCAAAGCTGTTTGCTGCACACAAATCATTGAAGGAATATCCAGAACAAAGACCTTTGTTCTCAAGCTATAAAAAATGCAAGGGAATCAAGGGTATTTATTTTCCAACAACAAAGGTTAATCCTAAGGACTGCCAAATAGTAGCATTTCGAATAGCAGACTTAACGAGTAGTACCATTAACAAATGTTCTCCTTAAGGAAGCATTAAAAGTAATATTAAGTTCTATAATAAGAGGGATACCTTCTATATCAAGGAAAAAATCATTTTCAATGTAGAAAGTTATGTTAAATGAGACAAAAAAAATCCATTATGAAGGTTAAAAATATGATTCCAGACATGTAAAATCTTTAATTCCCAGAACCCTATCATATAAAACGATTTGGGGATGTACTCAGCAAAATTCCAGGAAATTTAATGAACGATTGAATAGTTCCTAGGGAAAGTTCCAGAATGTGTTGAAAGACTAACTCAGAAAAGCAAAAACCAGTTCAAGTTAGAGGAGCAAGATAGAAAGGTATGTAAAGTCAATCTGTATGGGGAAAAAAAAATCAGTAATTGGCCTGATATTTCTCAGCATTTGGTGAAAATTCTGATAACACCTAAAAAGAATGGGGGGGGGTACAATTAAATATAAGTAAAGTAAATGAATAATTTCTCTAGAGTCAAAGGAACTAACTGGAGAGCAAGACAAGAAAAAAGTGTGAGAGGAAATGTAATCAACGAACCTCCTTGGTCATTCAGTAACAAGTTCTTACACAGTCATTTATTGTGCCACTAGCTATTAATTGAGCTTACTTTGATGTAACAATACTGAAACAAATGAGAACATTGAAAATAAATATGACATTAAGGGAAAAACTCATCTTCCATAATAGCAAATTGATAGATATCAATAAAGTCAAGAGAATACCAGTAAAAAGCAGTAAAAACAGGGCTCTTCCTGGTGGTACAACGGCTCAAAGCACTGCATTATGAAGCTCTCCAAAGCCACAGCAATCTCGGTTCAATCCTCGGCCAGGGAGATGACCCACATGGTGTGGCAGACCTCTCCTGACCCGCCCACTTCTCCCTTCAGCAGTGTACTTCGTCAATCTTCCTGTTCTGCTCCCCACTGTCTCTGGTGAATGCTGTCACCCATTACACCTCTGGCCTGTACCCCATTTCTGTAAACATAAATCTATCTATCTATCTATCTATCTATCTATCTATCTATCTATCTATCTATCTATCTATCTATCTATCTAAAAGCAGTAGAAACATACTATACAGAAATGTGGAAGTAAATACCAGAACAGACACCAGCATTGGCTGAAAGTTGTTAACTCTTGGAACAGAGAGACTGGTGGCTATTTATTTTTTATTCAAAGAATTCTAGTATTAGGGCCTCCCTGGTGGCTCAGGGGTTAAAGTCTCATTGCAATAAGCTACTGCCTGCCACTGTCACCTGAGCTTGACCCCCAGCTAGGGAGC